GCTGGCTTGAACGTCTGAAAATGGTTATTTTGTTAGTTCTCATCCCAGCCAGGAGGAAGGGGGGGCACAAAAAAAGGTGGAATTCTTTGATGTAGCATCTGATTGACAGGAAGCTAAAGGAGAAGGCTCTCTGGTTTGGCCTCTTGAGACTGTGGCAGAGAAATGATCGGTTCCCACTGGGGGCTGGAATGGAGGAAGTACTGGGCTGGCTCTGTGCTATTCTCTTCATATTTCAAGGAGACTGAAGTTTAGAATTGTTAAACATTCCCGGAAGGGCCATCAATCTCATTTGAGCTAGTTTCAATTGCAGAATGCAATGGACTGTTTCCTTGGCAATTTTTATTTTTCCCTCCCAGGCCTTTGCCCTCTAGTTCTCTTGCTCCCAGGCACACAGCTTCCTTCCTTCCTTCCTTCCTTCCTTCCTTCCTTCCTTCCTTCCTTCCTTCCTTCCTTCCCTTGTTCTCCAGGATTCTCCCCTCTGGGCAGTTACATTTCTGCAGAGTCCAACCTCCCTCTGCACCCAGCATGCCTATCCAAGACCCAGGAGTCCTGAGGATTAGCTCATTCACCAAACCTCCCGTTTTTAAAAACGTTACTGTCTAAGAGAGGTGTTTTACATGTACTAGAATGTACAAATCTTAGTTTACCCTTAAATAATTGATTCTACTAATTATTTATACAATGTTTAATATGGTGTGAGAGTCTTATTACTGAAGTACCAGAAGTTTTCCTTTAGTTTTCATGAAGTACCCAGAAGCTTTCCTCATCTTTTTCCTAGTCCATCCTCTCGGTTCTTTCTGCCATGGCAACCTCTATTTTTCTGCCATCACCATACATTAGACTTACTTGTTCTTGAACTTCAGGGAAATGGAATTATATAACATATACCTTTTTTTCTTTTTGCCTGACTACCTGATTTTAGGGGCACAAACCCAGTAGTGCCCTGGGTCAACACCTAAAGTTGTGCTCTGGTATTTTTCTCAGACGTACTCAGGAAACACGTACTACTAGGAGAGAACCCGGAACATGGCGTATGCACTGTGACCCTTGAGCTTTCTACCCAGCCCTGTGTCTGGCCACTTTTGCGTAACACAATGGTTTTGAAATTCAAATATACGTACATGGACTTTGTTCTTTTTATCACAGAATACACTATTACCTGTTCATTTATTTTTCTCTTCAAGGACATTTGGATTTTTCTGGCTTGGTATCAATTTATTTGGGCCGCTCGCCTTACAAGCGGCCATCATGGCCGACCCGAGTTCGATTCCTCCGCCCCTCTCGGAGAGCCCAGCAAGCTACCGAGAGTATTCAATATGCCAGACACAGTAACAACAAAGTCTCCAATGGAGACGTTACTGGGCCCGCTCGAGCAAATCGACGATCAACGGGAGGGCCTTTACCTTTACCATGACAAAGGTCCATCAATGGGGTGATTGCTTTTTCACAATTCTGGAGGCTATAAAGGAGTCCCTGGTGGTACTAGCTCAGTGCTCAGGGTACTTATGGTGCCAGGTCGGCCACATGTGTTCTATGTTCAGTCCAGTTTCTTCTTTTGGGGGGTGGGTCACATCTGGTGGTGCTGGGAGGTCATGTGGTTCCAGGGATCAAACCCGGGCTTCCACGTGAGAAATAAGCTTGCCAGCCCTTTGAGTCATTTTCCCAGGCCTGGATTTCTTCTGAGAACCTCTTTCCTTGGCTTCCGGATAGCTGTCTTCTCTTCGTGTAACCTTCCCCTCTCTATGTGTATGTTCTAATATACCTGTTTCCTTTCTTTTTTTTTTTTTTTTTCGGGCTGATGATCCCCTCCAACCCCCGCGCTGCTCACCCCCCCTCACACACACCAGTCCTGTAGAACCTCCAAATTCACTCTGAGGGACACCGCCCAGCCCCCCAAAGGCGACGAGATGCAACTGCTGTCGGCACCGCTGTTTAAGCTGCGGCAATGAGAAGCAGCAGCTCTTGGGTTTAGGTGCTCATCCTTTCTTTTTTTTTAAACAACAAGAAAAACAAAAAACAGTGATATTTTATTAGGGCTGTCCCACTTCCAATAACCACATTGAACCTAATAACTCTTTGAATGGTCTTATTTTTAAGTAGTCATATTCCGAAGTACTGCGGGATTATGTCTTGAACACATTAACTATGGAGAGGGGAAGAGCAGTTCAACCCACAGCAGCTGTAATGAACAATACTAGGAGCATTTCATACATCCTTTTTTTACATGTGCTGGTGTCAGAAGTGTGTGAACCAAGATTCACTCTCATCCACGATGCAGGAGACGTTGCTCCATGGCCTCTTTGGGTTTTATTCTAAGGGCAACGGGAGCCAGTGGAGGGGATCAGGGGAATTGCTGCCAAGATCCAGCTCTACTAATAAGTGTATCATGGGGGTTTTAAGGAAGAAGAAGCAAGTCGAAGGCAGGGAGATCGGCCCTTGTAAGTGGCTTGGACTCAGTAGAAGTGCTCAGTAGAAGTAGGTTGGAACTAAGTTGGAAGCTGAATTAACAGAATATGGTGACGGATCTACTGGGCTGATGAGAAGTAAGGATGAGCTGTGACTTCTAAATCCCTAAATTGTTTTTTTTAAACTCTTTTTCGATATGCCAAAAACAGTAACAACAAGTCTCACAATGGAGATGTTATTGGGCCCGCTCATGCAAATTGATGAGTAGTGGGAGGACAGTGCTACAGTGCTACTCTTTCTTTGGGTAGCAGGTCTTTGAATACACCTGGTGGTTTCAAGGTTTACTGCCGAGTCTGTGCTCAGGGGTCACTGTTAGTGGCACTCAGGAGACCATATATGGTGCTGGCAATCCAAAAGGGGTTGACTACATGCAAGGCAAGTGCCTTAATGACTGTACTGTCTCTTCAGCCTTTGACTTCTAGATTTTGACCTCGGGACCGGTAGGCAGTGAGTTAGGATCCTTCAGTTTATGAGCTGTCAACTTTATCACCCCATCCATCTAACTACTACATAGCTTGGCTTCAGAATGTAGTAGGTGTTCACTAAATACTCTCAAAGGACTGTTTTAGCACAGTATCTTAATCCTAACTATGGCCTTTGTGTAAATTTGTTTCCTTTTTACGCCTCCACCTTTGGGTCTTACCCAACTCTTGTGCTTGGGTGTTTCTCGTCCCCTCCCTCCCACCCTGCACCTAATGCAATTTTCACCCGAGATCCCTCTGGAATATTCTGGTGGCTCACAGGGGCCCTCATAACATACAATTATGTTATGTGGCTTTAAAATGTATAATTCCCTTAAAATATATATAATTCGGTGCCATTAAGGACATTCATGATGTTGTGCAACCATTACCTTTCTCTAATTCAAACTATTCTCATCATTGCAAAGGAGGTCTTGCACCCTCTGAGTAATCGCTCCCCGTTTCTGCTCCTTTCTCTGCTAAGAGTGCAACCACTGCTACGCCTCCTGTTCCCACGATTCACCTATTCCTGCCTACTTCATAGAAATGTAATTATGCAGCACGTGATCTTTGCATTTGACTTTTCCCACATAGCGTAATAATTTTGAGGCTCATCTCCACTGTTGAACTGTCAGCAGTTCATTTCTTTTTTTCCTTTTTCACTTTTTTTTATATTAAAGCACATATTGAATTGAATACGCCACAGCTTGCCAGGCTCTGCCGTGGGGGTGAGATGACTCTCGGTAGCTTTCTGGGCTCTCTGAGAGGGACAGAGGAATCGAACCCGGGTTGGCTGCGTGCAAGGCAAACACCCGTTACTGGTGCTGGCTTGAGCAAATCCATGAACAACAGGAGGACAATGAAACAGTGCTACAGCGCTTATTAAAGCAGGGTGATTTACAAAGTTACTCATAGTTGCGGTTTAGATATACATGTTGCTAGCACCAGTGTCAGCTTCTCTCCACCCATGCTCCCAGGATCCCTCCCCTATGCCCACTTCCAGCTGCCCTCTTCACAGGCACCTTCCTAAGTTCGGTTGTTAAAGTCTGGGTCTCTCGATTTTATGCTTGTTGACGGTGTAATTTGGATAATTGGCTCCATCACTCCTCAACACCACTTGGTCCCTGACTCGCCACGCTTCTCCTCCTTCTCTTCTCTCCCAGTAGTTCTTTTCTTTTTAATCACTGAATAGCATTCTATTTTCAGTATATGCCACCCATTCCTTATGCATTTATTTATCGGTGGGTAGCACTGCACTGTCACGGTCCTCCTGTTGTTCATTGATTTGCTTGAGGGGGTCCAGAAACGTCTCCACTGTGAGGCTTGTTGTTACTGTATTTGGCATATTGAACACGTCTCCGGAAGCTTGCCAGGCTTTGCCGAGCGGGCGGGATACTCTCAGTAGCTTGCTGGGCACTTCGAGAGGGGCGGAAGACTTGAACTCGGGTGGGCCGCATGCAAGGCAAACTCCCTACCCGCTGTGTTATGGCTCCAGCCCTGTCAGTGTATATCTGGTTTATTTTCATCTCTTGGTTATTGTGAATAATGCTGCTACCTGAATTGGCGTGCAGGATTTGCTGGAAAGCCTCTTTCCAGTTTTGGGTAGAGTGGGGTTGCTGGGTCATGAGTTTATAACCATGGCTTCACTTTTTGAGAGAGCGCAAAACTGTTTTTCAATAGCATCGCCAAGTCTGGCTGAATAAATAAACACGAAAGGAAGGGGTGAGGGCTTTGCCTATGCTGGACCACAGGGCTGCTGGCCACGGTACAGCAGACTGTCCTTACTGAAACGCTCGGCCCCATCCTCCAGAGAGGGACAGTAACCTTGAGCGGAACGAGATGCGATCCCCCAGGCTCTGCAGTCCCCGGTGAAGCCTCCCGCACTGATTCCTTCCCTTCCTCAACGCAGCCCTGCGCCCCTGTCCGCGCCTGGCCCCATCCCTGCCAGCCAGCACCCCCACCCCGCCCACCCGCCGCACCTCCTGCAAACTACAACTCCCGGCAAGCACCTCTCGCAGGCCGCCCCTGCAGCCTGGTGCGCATGTTTGGCAGACGTGGCACCGGGACCCGGAGGCGGGGAGCGGCGGGGAAGTGGCCGCGGCTACTCGGCCGGCTGGAGCGGGCGCGCGCGCGTGGGAGCCGGCCGTGGGCGGCGGCGGGATGGCGCGGGCCGGACCGGCGTGGCTGCTGCTGGGCGTCTGGGTGAGGCTGGGCGGCACGTGCGGCCCCGTGCCCGGGAGCGTGGCCGGGGGCGGCGGGGTGCCCACCTCCCTTGGGGCTGGGCGCTCGGGGCGGGCGCGCGGGGCCGGGGCCAAGGCGGGCGCCGCGGCGAGCGCAACTTCGCAGGGCGCGTGTGTGGACGCGGACCCTGGCCAGGGCGGGCGTCCACCTCGGGGGCCCTGCACCTGTTCGAGTGCCGGCGGGGACGCTCCCTGGCCGGGTCACCCGCTTGTTCATTGCCCCCGGGGTCACCCGGTTCTGGCCCGGTTCTGGCCCGCGCACTTGGGACGCTGGTCCCCGCCTCGGTCCCCGGCGCGCGCCAGGCTGGGCGCGGTGTCCCTGCCCGGCCCCTTCAAGGCTGCGGCGCTTGGGATGCATCAGACTTCGCCTCCTCAGCCGTGAGGTGGGGGCGGTGAAAAATCCCCCCACCCCGGTCTGTCGCGGGGACCGTGAGAATCCAAGGAGGCTTCCGAGCGGCTTAGTCCTGGCTTCCCGCAAGAGCGAAGGCACTGCGGGTGGAGTTTGCTGCCTCTGAGCACACCCTGGCCTCCTCCCCCGAGGCACCCCCGGGAGAGGTGGGCGTGGGCCGCAGACACCCCGGCCCACGCTTATCCCCGGCGTTTTTGTGGCTGTGCGCCCCACATCGCTCCGTAACTTCTGGTCTCCCTGAGCTCAGGTCTTGGCGGCTCTCCCTGCCGAAGTTCCCGGGAACTTACTTGGCTGGCGCCCTCTCCAACGAGATCTGTCTCTTTTCCCCTCCCCTTCTGGGTGTGGCAGGGATGCAGGGCCGGCGCGAGGCGTGGAGGGGCCAGAGGGGTTAGGCACTTTCCCTGCGTGGGGCCCACCCAGGTTCGGTGCACCCAGGTCCTGGAGCCCACTAGGGGCGATCCCTGAGCACGGAGCCCACCCACCCCACCCGCCAAAGCCAACAGACAAGCAAGAATCCCTTGCCCGTGGGAGTCTCTAGCGAGTCCTTTCCTGGTTGCCTGGCACCTTGGGTCAGGGAGCCGCGGCCTTCCGGATCTGACTCTCCTCCCTGTGCTTTGGGTCTGGCCAAAGCTGAGCGGACCCCCTCACGCCCCGGGCGCAGCAGCAGCCCTCCTCTGCTGCTCTGAGCCAGCCGGAGGGTCCGTTAACACTCCCCAGATCAGCTCTTTCACTGGGACTCTTTTTACCTTGTGTTTGTTTTGGGGTCACACCCTGCAGTGCTCAGGGGCTATCATTTCTGGCTCTGTGCTTTGGGCCAGGGTTGGCAGTGCCCAGGCCTCAATCCGGGCTCTCTGCTCAGTGCTCCATGTGGGGTGCTGGGGGCTCCCGTCCTGGGGATCGAGTGCTGGGCTCCAGCAGCAGATGCGCCTGTGTCTCCCCGCTTGGCGGTTTGGGGAGCTCCCGCTTCCTCCTGTCCTAGTCCCTCCCTCCTGCTTCAGTGAAGGGCTTCGGAACCTGTCTGGAAAGAAGTTTCATTCGCAAACATTTATTTATCCAGTGCATTGTTTGGCCCTGGCTTGGATTTTGGGAGAGCAAAACACACATTGTCCTTGGCCTCCCGTATTGCCTGGGTTGGGGAGTTAAGGGAAGTCAGTCCTGAGAACAAATAAATAGGGTCCAGGGCCAGTTCCCTCTGTCCTGGGGCCTCCTGATCTGAAGCCACACTTTAATCTGGAACACTGTTCCCCAGAGAGGGTAGTCCTGTCTCTCCGCACCCAGGTGTGGGGTGGTAGTAGTCAGGCACATTTGGGGATGCTTCAAGAAGGTAGGCTTCCATAAGATAATCTAGTGGGTAAGGCTTCAGCGTAAGCCCTGGGTTTGATTGCTGGCAGCACAGTTGTCCTCAGATCCCCGCCAGGAACCATCACTAAGGGCAGAGCCAGGATTGAGCCCTGAGCACTGCCAGGTGTGGCCCCCACCCGTTTGCCGATTAAGTTCCTGGGTGAGTTTTCCTCCTGAGAAGGGGGCAGTAGGCCACAGGGTCCGGGCCCTCTGCTGCAGGTGTGCTGTGAGGGGGGCTCTGGGGGCAGTAGCCGAGTCCTCGACATGGACCGAGGTTTCATTCTTTCTCAAGTCCTGGATTAGCGTGGTGGGTACAAGTCCAAGGGCCATTGAGGCCCTGGTGGGGTCTCTGGGAATCAGAGCTCCATGCTCATCCGGTCTGGGCCCCCGGTCCCTGGAGTCGCTTGGATTTCTTTGCTCGCTCAGTGTGTCCTGAGCAGTGATGTGTGCCCCGTGCGGGCTGTGACCCGAGGGAGACGAAGGAGTGTAAATGGGTCTGTAGGGATTTGCAGGCCGGAAGGCACAGTGACCACAATTTCTTTTTAATAGTAGCAAAAATATGTAAGGCCTGCAGTGCTCAGTGGAAGAACACAGTTGAATGATCTCCGGGCTGCGGTGTGGGGAGAGGGTATTTACGAGAACGCTCTGTTCGCGCTCAACTATTTCAGGATGCCTGTGAAGAGCCTGGAGGGACTGGACGAGTGCTCAGGCGTGGTTGCTCGAGGAAGGTGGGGTATGAGAGAGAGGCGCAGCAGGGCGAAGAGCCTCCTTGTGTGGCGGAGGAATCAGTGCGTCCGTGTTCACGGCCACGGTTTGGGAAAGTGGAGTCACAGAGGAGCAGGACTTTTGCTCATTTTGCTTGTGCTTCTCTGTGTGTTCCTAGTGTTTCGTGTGAATCTTTTTGGTCAGAAGAACTAGTAAAGGAACTTCCTATAGAGGGTCCTTGGGGCCTCTCCAGCTTCTGGGAGAATATTGGGTGGAGTTGTAGCAAATAGGACAAGTAGGTGGCAGCCCCTCTGAGAGTGGCGCCCCCTCACCGCCACGTGCTCACCCCCTTCCAGGCAGCTCTGCCCTGTAGCTGACCCTTCCTTAGCAAGTCCCAGGTAGATTTTCTTGTTTTCAGATGGAGAAATGTCCGAGCTGGAGAAGATTCTAGATGTCCCTGGGCTCAGGCGCGTCTCACAGCAGGAAGGCCAGGGGCTGCAGCTGGTCTCTCAGACACTTTTCACTCATGCCCAGAAAAATTGGAAAAAATAATAATAGTTATTTTTTCTTTCCTAAGCCCAAATATCTTTAGATGGATGAAGGGTATCTGTCTTCCTGATGTGTTGTCTATATTTGGGGGTGGGGAGTTACAGTGTCTTTGGAAAACTGAAATTAGTGCATTGAACTGTCTCGCCCTGTGGCCCAGTGTTATCAGACAGATCCCCCGAGCAGTTTGCCCCCAAAAGAGAGTAAGGGATCTGTGTTGTGATTTTTTTTGTCTTTTTTTTTTTTTTGCTTTTTGGGTCAGACCCAGCAATGCACAGGGGTTACTCCTGGCTCTGCACTCAGGAGTTACTCCTGGCCGTGCTCAGGGGACCATATGGGATGCTGGGAATCGAACTCGGGTCGGCCGTGTGCAAGGCAGACGCCCTATCTGCTGTGCTATTGCTCCAGCCCCCTAAAAGTCCTTTTTTTGGTAACATATGCCTTAAATCCTCTCTCTGCTTGATATTTAGGAACTAGGGAGACGGCTTAGCTGGCTGATTATGCCGTTCCTGGCCTGAATCTGACCCCAGTCCTGCCCCCGCTCCGGTGACTGTGGCCCTGGGGGACCGAGGGACCAGCGGGCTGAGCACTGAACTTTGAGCCCTGCCTGGTCGTGTGCCCTTGGGAGGAGCCTCCGAACTACCCCGTGCCTCCACTCCAGCACTACTGAGGGTGGCTCCTAAATTATATATTTATATATAAAATATTTAAAATTACATTTAAGAACTGCTTTATCACTGTGTGTGATTCAAAAGACTGAGATCTAATTTATTTATTTGGTTGTTCCAGGGATCATGCCAGCAGCTTGGGGATGGGAGGCCTTACATGCACCCCACCCCCGGGCCACACCCTGGCCCATGCCCTTCCTTTTATAAGAGAAAAGTGAAACTTGGAGAGAGGGAAGGAATTCACTCAGAGCCACCCAATTCCTAAGGCAGAACTGGGTATGGAAGCCGGCTTTCTGAATTCTAGATCTCCTGGCTGCTGTGTTTCTCTCTCTCTCTCTCACACACACACACACACACACACATACACACACACACACACACGCGCGTGCACGCATGCACGCAGAGCACAGGGCCATGCACACGCGCGCGCGCGCGCACACACACACACACACACATACACAGGGCCATGCATGCACAGGCCTGCACACGCCAGCTTCCCACCCACCTTAATGGGTCAGTGGGCGGGGGTAGCACCTGTTTCGCCCTCTCCTGCAGAGCTTGTAACCACTGCATGTAGGTTCTCCACCATTATATATTTAATAGGCTTTTGTGGGCTGGCCCGAGGGCCTAATTACCCTTTACAATGCTGTTTGGAACCTGGAACGCACTTCTCCCGCAGAAAGTCATTACGGAGGAAGTTTTCAAGCAGGACTGGCACTCAGGCTGGAGAGAGGGATGCGTGCCACGTGAGTGCCAGGCGGGGACTCTGTGGCGGGCACTGCCCGCCCCGAGAAGGGCCCACCCAGCCTCAGGAGGAGAGGGCTGACCCTGCACCTCCCTGCGTTGGCACACAGGTGGCCCCTGTCTTCGCTGGACTGCAGGAGTGATGGTGGCTGTGTGCAGTGATATGTGTGTGGGACAGAGAGGGTCTGAGTTGGGGGCCGGGGGCATTCATAGCAGAACTTGGGAAGGCAGAGCCGAGAGGGCACTTGCCTTGCACACGGCTGACCCCGGCTGGTCCCTCCCACCCCCAGTGGTCCCTGAACACTGCCAGGAGTGATCGTTTGAGCATCAAGTGTTGCTCTAAATACCACGCCCTACCTCCTAACCCCTCCAAAAGAGTATTGAGTATGTAGATTGAGGGGTCCAAGGAAGCAGCCCTGTCCGTACCTTGGCGCAGTCGGGTTCGAGAGCGCGTTACTCTCCCAGAACCGAGCTTGCTCTCTTCCCCTCTCCCGTGTTACCCCAAGGCAACCAAGCCTGGCGGGGGGCGCCTGGACATGTAGCCGGCCA